TTAGGGCAAGATTTTAAGTTTTTTTTTTTTTTTTTTTTTTTTTTTTTTTTTTGAACGGCAGGGCAAGATTTAAAGTTAAAAATGTTTTGTGTAATTTTTCATATCGACATGATTCTAAATTTCAGTGTTATTGACTTCTTTCAGATTTTGAGATCAGTTAGGGTGGCTATTTAATGATTTTGCAATCTTGGTGATAGATTAGGATACAAATGTTCACAATTGTTGAAGGAAATACTTTTCGTATCCATTTGCTTTTAATTTATCTGTAAGTTTTAGCTTCGTACAATCCTAACAATAGATTATTTGGTGTCATGTAGACAATGTAAGAAACAAAAATAGGCAAATTAATGTTGTAATAGCAAGTTTGACATTTTATATTAAAGAAGCTATGATTCGAACTTACCTCTTCCTTTGCAGACCATGGATAATAATTTTTTTAAAGCTTTGCCTAAAAACTGCCAAGTAAGATGTGTTTTTTAAGGCTATATTGAAATATAACCAAGGTCGATCCATAGGTATTATATGCCCCGGACAAAAGACTAATAATGCTTCTACCTTTCTTTATACCATACAAAATACATTTTACCAAACCAATATTCAAAATTAACTTATTAAAGAAAAATGTAATCTTTTTTTTTTTATGAAAGAAGGATGAATACTAAAGCTTTCATCTAGAACCATGTATATTCGTATTTTTTTAAGCAAAAAACCTAATGGTATGCAATAAAGACTATCAATAGAGAATATATGTGAAATGACAAAAAAGGAGGGGTTGTTTAACAAAAATGACTAAGAATTAGGTGTTTTCGAAAAATGACCACAACTTTCACAGAAAGGGTCTCTGCGGAAGTCATTTAACTCTGAGGAACAAGAAAACTCTCTGAGAAAATGATGTGACGGGGGAAAAGAGAAAAAAAATTATAAAATTTTAATTCCGCAGAGGGTGCATCGTTTCACAGAGATGCCATCTGTGGATCTGCTCTTCAGAGGTAGGGGTGAGCAAAAACCGCACCGCAACTAAAATTAACCGCAAAAACCGCATAAACCACAACCGAAAAACCGCAACCGCAATAAAAACCGATGGTGAGGTTTTCTGTTTTTCAAAAACCGCAAATTTGCGGTGCGGTGCGGTTATTAGTTTTCAAAAACCGCAAAAAAAACCGCACCGCATCGCACCGCACCGCATATATTATATACAAATTTTTTTTTATCAATTGTTAGTTTATTAAATATTAAAAATAAGACAAGTTTCATGAATGAAAGACGGAAAAAATATTAGAAGACAAAAGTGTTGGTTTTTTCTTTATGTTTAACTTTAAAAAATGATGAAATTAGACAATTTTAAGATATTTATTGTTAATTACTATTGATTTGACGTTTTTAATATATTAATTGTTTGTGGTTTAAGTTAAATAGTTAATTGTGTTATATCTTATGGTTTTTTTATTATTACAAGTAATATGTTTGAACTCTTAAAACTATTTGAGCTCTAAACTGTAGTTAAAAACCACACAAAATAACCGCACCGAATCCATGCGGTTAATAACCGCAACACAGAAAAAACAAAACCGCACCACAAAAATAACCGCCTAACCGCACCATGCGGTTTTGAAAATGGATTAACCGCATTTGCGGTTAGTGGTGAGCTTTTGGCTAATAACCGCATAGAACCATACCGCGCTCACCCCTATTCAGAGGTACTCCTCTGTGGAACGATGCACTCTTTGCAGAATTAAACTTTTATAATTTTTTTTTTGTCTTTTTCCCCCGCCACGTCATTTCCTCATAGAGTTTTTTTGTTCCTCAGAGCTAAATGACTTCCGCAGAGGCCGGTGGAAATCTTGATATTTTTCAAAAACACCTAATTTTTGGTTATTTTATTCAAACAACCCTTTTTTTTTGTCATTTCACAAATTTTATCTTTTAGGAATATAGAGTGTTAAGTGATTAGGAGCATGTCTCTACTCCTAAACGTATGTAAAAGTTTTCGTCTACAGAGCATCCATTAAAATTTTAACAGTAAACACTTTCCCGTCTTATATCCGTTCACTCTAATATTATGGAGCATGACTTTTGGATCAAATCATTCTCTTATAAGCTCAACATTGGTTTCTTGATCAACAAAATCATATGGACGTGACCACACACTCATATATATATA